TGCTAGACTTCACTGTCAGTGTTTTGGTGAACAAACCTCCGGATCTCTTGGAATACGCGACCATTTATTTCAATCGTCTCCTCGAAGAACGACAGCATTCCTCTCATCTCTTGACTAATGTTAACGATAATGAAAACAACCATTTGGTCGACGATGACAACGACTCCACTTCCAGTGATATAAGTATCAATTATTTCATACCATTTATTATGCCTTTAATTACATTATATTTCATTAATTATAACCCATTTATAAAAAAGCTTTCTAAATCTTTATGCCCTACAGTGCCTTTCAATCCCATTCCCTACCAGTGCTCTAAATGCTATAACGCTATATACAATACCATTCCCCGCAATATTCACAATAGTGTACTCTTATTGCTATAATTTACAATAAATTTACATTTCTTTTATATATTTGTTTAATATATTAATATTAGTTTTCAAATATTTGTCCAGAATTTGATTTTTGCGAATAATATATCTCTTATACATGTATTAGATGTTTGCAAACATTTACGTTCAAAATGTTGACAACATTTATTTTCTATTAACTAGACTTGAGATATTTCATACTTCATGTTTTTTGAATTTGATTTATTTGTAATTTGTTAAACATTCTTATGATTTAAATTTTACACTTTTTGATAAATTGTAATCATTTGAATAGTAGTAAATCAAATTGAGAGAGAGAGAGAGAGAGAGAGAGAGATTTTAAAATTTAGCATTTGAAAAACACCATCAATTTTAATATAAATTTTTAATTTAAAATTTAAGTTAAAGACCTACGTTAAAGAATTTTTTTAATTTATAGTAATTTTATTCAAAAGTATATTTATATATTTATTTAAAATAAATTTTATACGCAACATATTACACCGAAAATTAAATAAATTTACCACTTGTTCAACCAGTTGTTGTTAACAATTGAAATTTTAAAAATATATTCAAAATATTTATAATAGTAGTTACATTTAGTATTAATATATTGATGTTATACAGCATTTTTGATAAATACCTTTCATGTTAAAATAATCACATAATTATTATTGAATTTCAAATGAGTAGACAAGACATGAAAATGTTTTCATTTACTGATTAAAAATCAATATACTGTATTTTCACACAAAACCATTTAAAACTGGTTTTTAATACGGTACGGTATTTAAATATGAATACAGTATATTAATATTATATATAAATATTTTAATATGGTAATTTACAATAGAATGAACTGGTTAAAAACATTCATATTAAACCACTTTTACAAACAAAAAATTCAAATAACAAATAAAATAATAAATAACTAAATAGTAAATAATGAATTAAAATAAAAATAAGCTATAAATATTGATATAACAAAAATTATATTAAATGTGAAATTAATTGAACACTATTTCAAACCCATTTCTATGGGTTTTTATAGTTAAGCCCTTTAGAAATGATAATGATTATATTAATTTTAAATAAAGAGCTTAACTATATTTCTTTCATCAATCTTTCATAAGATTTGATAAAACATTTAATAGTAATCATTAAGAACAATATTTCGATGATTTTATTTATAAATAAGACTAGTAAATATAAAAAATATCTTTAAAATACTACCTCTAGATATTATGCCAAACGATTTATTCAGAATTTAAGGTTGTTTTGTAATTTTCAATTTATATTCACAAACACATGATTAGTATAAATTCTCATATTTTACACCAATTATTATATATGTATAGATTTTTTTGTCACTCAGTTTATTTAAATTCAATATTATTATTTATGATATATTAATTTTTAAATAATTTATCAATTATATTTTAACACTTTAAATTTTTCTGATTAAATAAATCATTTTTAATATGAGAAAAGATTTAAGCTTTGGAAATAAAAATTGGGACAACTTTTCAGAGTTAACTAAAATTATTAAATCTAAATTAAATTTATTAAAATTTACACTAATTTTGTGTGTTTTTCGTAAAAATTATTTTTATTATTTTGTATTTCATTATGAAATCTCATTATTTGGCCAGATATTGGTATAAAATGCATTTCAATATATTATCTAAGTTGTCTTACACAATACATCGGTAATAAAGTGTCATTTAGATCTGAAATGTAAAATAATAAAAATAATTTTTACGAAAAACACACAAAATCTTAGTGATAAATAGTTATCATACTATTTATACCCATGTTATCAAATATCTCATATATGCTCATCGGCTTTGTATAATAATAAATTATCATTATATGTTTTATTGAGTTTAAATTTTACATCCTTAATAATAAGAATATTTAATGGTCAATATATATAGTATGTAAGTGGTAGTACTTAAATAAAATTTACATTGAATCCTGTGCATTTTTTATGGGACAAATGACTAGTACACCCTGTACAGTAGTTTATATAATATTATAATTTATAAACAATTTAAACTCTATTGCATATATTTCTTATAAGTTATTGATTTAATAATTCTGACTTATTTTCATATAACCATATAATAGCTAAAGAAAACGACATATTTATTTGAATATTAAAGATATTATTGACTATTTTTATTGGCTTCTCATAACTGAATTATAACTTTTAATTATTAAAAACAAACTCATTAATAATATAAATGTGTTTGAGTTGGTTCAGGATTTGGCGTAATGTATAATATTAAATAAGAATATTTATATTTAAGACTTTTGTGTTTCAATAGTTTATTAAGTTATCAGTGAAAAGGAGTTTAAAATTTAAGATAATAGCCTAACGTTTTCGGTCTACACTGAGACCATCATTAGAACTAAGATATTAAAAGAGATCATTCATATGATTTGCGTTTAACTAATGTTTGCAATTTAACAATATTTATAGTTTTGTCTTGAAACTAATTTTTTGTATTTTTATTTAAGTGATTTTTAACCAAAATTTTATAATACTGTTCGGTGATACATTTATATTATTATCTGATTAACTACACTAATAGTAAGTATATATTAGTCTTGGTGGGCAGTCTGACAGCAAGTGTGCTTCCTTTAGTCCATTCCCAAACAAACCAACAGTAATTCCTGAAACTGTTAAAACATATGTCATTCTCTTAAGTATTTGCTGAACATTACGATCCGGAAGAGGATGAGGACGACGACAATGAAAAGGTTATTCTCACTGTTTATTTATTTATTTACTCTAATCGCTCACTTTGTCTTAATATTATTATTCTTTTAGATAATTTATCCCAAAAGTGATGAACAGCGCCAGAGATTGGGAGAAGCCGTTAAAAATATCCTACTCTTCCGCTCCTATCTAGGGCAGACAGTAATTAATGGAGAATAAAATAAATACTTAAATATACTTTAAAAGTAAAGGGAAAAATCAATCTTTACAGACTTCATTAGCTGCGATACAAACTTTCTTTTCATTCTTTTGAATGAAAGATTTGATTTTGATTTTAATTTCTACGAAATGATTATTTCTAAATTATTTATTTGTTAATTATAAATTTTGTTTGCATAATCATTTAAACATTTTATATGGCATTCGTTAAATAAATTTATATATTATAGTTAAATATTTCACATTTAATGTTTTGATAGTAATACAGTATACTTATAATTTTAAATTATCATAAAAATTGAGTACTATCCTTAATGTTATCATGATAATTAATTTATTTTTATGATCATCATGATAATCATTTAATTTTTTGAGCAAAGATTAATAATTTAACATTTAAAGATAGTCTTTAAAACTGTGTTGAATACAGAATAAGTTATTAGCAAATCCTATATTAATATTAGAGAAATAATAGTTTTTTATTCAAATTCAAAGTCGACCTTTGAATAAATCCATTAATTATGATAATTATGCTAATAATTGTTTTATGATATAGTTAACAAACAATTATAATAATAAATCGCTTTTGTATTTTTCAAAATTATATTATGAAATTATGAATACCAATATTAATTAAAAACTTATTTAAAATCAATTATTTAAAAATAATTTATTGAAGATATTCAATAAAAATTATCACATTTTATAAATATTATTTAAGATAATAAAATGATTATTATTACATTGTATCCATATGTCTATAGCGTATTGACAATAAATTTGAAAAAACAAAAATTAATTATAATATTCATAATAAGTAGGACGAGTTGGTTGTAAACATCTGATTTTATTATTAAATTATGATTTCATATTTACCATTATTCCACTGTACTGTAAGCATTAAAGCAAAAATGCTGTTTAATTATATTTCGATTAATTTTTTTTATAAATATTTACAGAAAAATATTTTTGCAGAATAAACAAAAGTACTGACTCTATGCTTATGATCTGACAAATAATATGAAATATAATTTGACGCTTGTTTTGATGCATTTAATTTTGAATTTAGTAAATAATTAATAAATTGATTGATTATAACGTGATGTTTAGGTGGAAGAGGGAGAGATCGTCATCAGACAGGGAGACGACGGCGACTACTTCTATGTCATCTCCGAGTGAGTCATCCCTTTATTCTCTATCCCATTGTGTTTACAATTTAAACAAATCTATTCATTCATTATTTTATTTTATAATTTTATACTTCAATTCAAGTATTGAAGTGATCATTCTATAAATTAGTTACTTTGCAGTATTATATTCCAATATGTTTATAACATCATACTGTATTTAAATTTCATATAGAATTACTGTATATTTATTTTAATATATCAATATCATTTAAATATGACTATAAAAATTATTTATCAATTTTTATTATTTAGCATTCTACTATATAATTCTATAAAACTTTGACACAAGTTTTATAATATAATATGTCATTATTTTAAGTTGTTACTGTATAATATTCCAATTCTTAAAATCATTGTTTTACTAACTTTTAAAATTTTATGTTTTTATATGCACATAGTTAAGAAACTAAATTATAATTGCAACATAATAATTAGCTACATTTCATCTATTTTATTTTACGTACAGTTTTATAATTAAATATACAGTATATTTAACGTAAAGAAATGGCGAATATAGTTATAATGATACAAGAATTGTAGAAATTCAAGAATGACAATTAGTTGTCAAGAATATAGTTTTAGCATTACACTTAACATAAACACTTAACATTTTTGAACATTCATTTAAAAGTAACTTTGCAAAATTATGTTTTGATATTCTTGAAAATAAAGCAAATATCTAACACTAATGACTCAAGTTTATAATCACAATTTATAACAATTAACATACTATATCTTGCAAGAATATGTTTTACTCTAAGATTTGAAAATAGGTTCAAATATTTATATATTTTATCTCAGTTATTAGAGTTCAATAAATTATATGAATTTCATTTGTTTTCACTTATTTTTAATAAATGACAATAAATATGACAGTATATTGGCAGTAAATTATACACACACTATAATTTTATCTAAAAATCACTACATTATTGCACTAATTATGATGATTAATGTCTGAAAACCACTTTTGATGAGTAAAGCGGAACCTTTAAGATCGTGGTGTCTGTGGACGACGGGTCAGAGCGTGAAGTGGGAGAGTATACGGGTTCGGGTAGTTTTGGAGAACTGGCGCTCATGTATAACATGCCGCGCGCCGCTACTGTCAAAGCAATGACTTCTGGTTCACTATGGGCTATGGTATGATATGACTGATTGTTTGCATTAATGATTTAGCACTCAATACTAAATTCAAACTCAACCTCAAGAGTCGACACACTTTCCGAAAAATAGTTCTCAAAAGAGCTTTTAGGAAGAGAAAAGAATACGAAGCGTTAATCGAAAAAGTGGACTTGCTCAAATCACTGGAAGTAGGCACAACCTTTGCTTTCGCTTAATTTACATTTTAATATTAATGTACACTTCACGTCAAACATATGCAATCATTAATTAATCGCTTAATCCTTAGCCCTACGAAAAAATGTCATTAAGTGACGCTCTATTGCCGCGAAGATTCGTCTCCGGAGACCTTATTATAAGACAAGTGAGTCTTATATCTTATTCTACTCTTCATTACTAATCAAATGAATCCATGAATTACTAGAAATCAATTAAGTCTTAGAGTTCTTAGAATTAGGGCTTTTGAACGAATTAGAGGTTCAGATAAAGAGATTCTCAATAAATGTGTGTTTGAATACAGGATTGCACTAATTGTGCCTTCATTATACTCTTATCGTGTACTACAGTGCACAAAACCCTTTGAAAATATTTTGGGGTTTATGTTAAGAATATAAACGTCTCGTTAATAGCAAAGTGTTATTAATGAGACAAGTCATTGAGAATATTCTTATATAAGAATAAACACAAAATTTGAAAATATTTCCAATTGTTTATTGAAGAATGATAAAAAAGGAAATGTTTAGATAAGTCAAAATAAAGTGGAGAATAAACAATGAATTATTTGTTATTATAGGACGACGAGGCGGACGGTATGTATTTCGTTCAGGAGGGCATCGTTAGGATCACCAAAATTACTGAAGTGAGTGTCAGACTTTAGTGTTTAAACATTGATTTTAATTATGAAAACAACTTATAATTGTGTGAATAGGAAGGACACGAACAGGAATTATCGCGTTTAGAAAAAGGCGGATATTTTGGTGAATTAGCACTTATTACACACCGGCCCAGAGCTGCATCAGCCTATGCTCTAAGTGCTGAAGTGAAGTTGGCCTGTAAGCCATGTGAATTGATAGTGTGAATGAATATAAGCTAATACCTGTCCATATGGTGTCTAGTCCTGGACGTGCATGCATTTGAGCGTCTGTTGGGTCCGGTGATGGACATAATGAAGAGGAACTTTAACCACTATGAGGACCAATTGGTCAAAATATTTGGGTCCAAATCAAATGTGGCCGACTTGCGATGACTGCACGTGTGAGCCGTTGATGGTAGGGATTGTGAGGGAATCCCTTTGGTGGTGGACAGTGGGACACTGGTCTCGATGGCAGACTTATTGCACAATTAATTGAATTCTTCCCCTAATTTGAGATAATTTCCAGTTAAAGGTGTTTTGCAGTGAAACAATCCTTTTATATCTGTACTGTTATAACAGTGTTTTATCGCCAAAACTTAGTGATTGTTTTTATATGAATGTTATTTAATCTACGAACAATTTTAGGCAAAATTCATTCAAATATTCAATGAATTTAATCATTATTTCAATTGCATTATTGAGGAGCATTGATTGCTTCACAAAGTCATCAGAGCTTACATTCAATTCAATTCTAGTGAACATAATATTAAATAAATAATATATTCATATTAATAAGTTGTGTTCCCTTATATCGAATAAGTTTAGTTCAAAATTAGACGCGATTTTCCCAAATAAACTCCGAAACAAGTACTTCATCTGTAATTCATTTAAATAATAAAAGACTAAATTCAGAGCAATATTTCTATCTAAATACCATTCATATGTAAATGAAAATTAAAATTTGAATGAATCGAAAAAACACCAAATTATGATTAAAACCAACATTTATCGGATAAAGAGAAGTCATATTTCAAACATAATCCATTTGTTAAATATTTGTATGAAATTATATGTAATGTAATAATACTAAAACCCATTAGTTTACAATAAAATCAATTTCGAAAAATTTTTACACATTATTTTTAATTTATATGAATTTTAAGCCACTCTAAACATGTCACACTATAACGTGTATATTATTCACACATTTAGCCAATAATTGAATGTTTTATTTCAATAATAGAAACCATTGATATTCATATACTTTTAGCTGTAAAGTTATGTATATTTAATGTTTGTCTTTCTGTAAATTTCATAATCCTTAATAGCATTACACAAATTCATGCAATAAGCAAATTAAAACCAACTTCTTAAGTAGGCTTAATTGACTTCAAAATTGAATTCAAGTCATATATTCTAAATAAGCGAGTTCATTAATGATCAATAATTTTGGTTAATAATAATTGTAAATTGATAATTTAACCTTTAGATAAAATTTTTATCAAAAAACTGCTTATTTTAATAAAATTATTTATTAAATTAATCAGATATTTTAAAACAATTAAATTAGAAATTTTATAATATGAGCTTTGGACAACCATAGTAACGTTAGCTATTTTATATTTATTATATCTAATTATTAATTTTATACAAAAGTCAACTATTCAGAAAATATTCATAGGCTTAAGGTAAACGAGTAGTATTATAACTTATCAGGTTAAAATATTACTGGATTTTAAAGTATTAATAAAAAAAAAGCTAACGTTACTATGGTTGTCCAAAGCTCATATAATATATATTATATATCAGTATAATTCCTAAAATAATCAAAAAAATACATAATATTTATTTAAACATTTGAATTCTTTTACTATTTACGCAATCATTTTATTTATGAAAACTTTACAAACAAAATAAGACAAATCTATTTTTATCACATGTTTTAAATCTTGTTACAGAGTATTTTCAAAGGTTTTTTTAACAAATTTTGTGTCAAATAAGTTGCAAATTTTAAAGATTTCTAACAATAATCATGTAAATGAGTACGAAATATATTTATTTATAATTTCAACTAATTTTAACAAATTTAAAAAATAATATTTAATCAATATATCATATAAAAATATATATAATAATATGTAAAACACATGTCACAGAATTTATACAAATATAAAATAAAATTTTCAATTTATGTTAACTAGTAATCATAAATAGGACAACAAAACTCTAATAACAGACATCAACACAAAAATTATTTTAAATATTCTGATAATTTATTTTTAAATTATTATTATTATTAATTTTTAAATATTAATTTGATAATTAATAATTATGGAATAATAGTATTTATAAAAATATTTATTATTTCTTAATTAACACTTTATTCAAAAATGAAATTCAATAGGACTATTAGAAGTATCACAAAAGTGTAAACTAAAACTATAATAAATAAAAAGTCACAGAATATGTCACTAAACTATCTAATTATGATTATGTACAGTATTTATATAATACAGAGGGAATGGCACTTAATATAACGCGATTACGTCTGGAGTAATAGACATATTATATATAAATTCATTGAATATTTAACTCATACTGATGTCAGTCATGAGGTATTTATGCTGAAGTCATTCAAACTTTAAGAGAAGGCCTGAATTAGTGACATAAATAAGAGCTTATAAAACATACTGTTTATTACATACTGTATGTTATGATGAGACTCAAAATTGATGCTATTTCATGTATTAACAAACGGCAAAAAGGATTTCTACTTTAAATAGATGTTATGATCATTCAAAACATATTTTTGTTATTATATAAAAATAAGTAATTTAAATGGTGCAACCATATACAATTTAATAACACAGTATTATTATACTGTATATGAAAAATATTATAACTTGCAATGTATTGAAAACTCAAATTCTTAAGTTCTTAATTTATTTATACTTTCCAATAAAATGATTGATTAATTAAAAATAGATCTCAATTGACATTATTTTGAAGGAAAAATTCTTTGCATTTAATGAATGGAATATTCTTTGAAAAACATGTTTAAGATTGTGACCTAAAATCAAACTCTACTCAATTTAGCCTAAATATTCAATTATAAGATGTTTTCAAGTTTTAACTAAAAATACAAATGAACCGATAGGTTAACTCAATTGAACAGAATTCAAGTACTGTACGAGTATTAAACTTACTGGGTGTGTTTATATTGTAGAGTAATGTTCAGTTATTAATAAATCTCACGGCTTTCCACTCTATTCAATATGACCGGTATTGCAGTTATTTACGGACTCATCAATTCATTGCACATTCTGTCAAATAACTCAAACAAAAATT